TGGGACACTGCTGGATGCAATTGGCTACCACGTTTCGCCCACAAAGTAAAGTCAATTCACTTTACAGTATATTCTGTGAAGCCCTTTGAGACGTCTCGGAGATTTGATAAAGGGCTTTATCAAATGCAAGGATTATTATATCAACAACAACTTGCATTTACATAGCGCCCCTCAGGCAGAGTAGAGTCCCAGAGCGCTTGTATCAAATGGAAGTATTATTAAGATCTGAGAGAGAGAGCATTTGACGAGGGCAATTTGCAGCACAATCGAGACTCAACATTACAATGTGGAATCCTCTGCTATTACACAGTTATTAAGCCAGAAAAAATATTTTTGAAAGGAAACTGGAGAGATGCTTCAAGTGTATGGACAAATAAACAGGAGTGTGGGGATGGAGAAAAACGCCAGCAGTGCAAAGTTGAGCCGAATGACCCGTTTCCATGATGTTGCAATCTAGGATTCTAAGAAGCAATCTCAATTAATCTGTTTCACAGCTTCAAAACTAAGAAGAACTCATTGATATCCATGGAATTTCTGAGCCACAGACAATAATTAAGGCAATAAAAGAGCAAAGTTCTAGCCGGTGTCAAGAGCCCCATTGAACCTCTTATTTGACTCCCATTATCAGAAGAAAATAAATCAACATTGCTTCCCAACCCACCATTCCAATTTAGTGCTAGAAACACATCAACTACTGATTTAGATCAAGACAATTAGGGGTGGGGGTAGGAGGAGTGGGGCTAAAATGACACGTTTGCAGTGGTGGGATTAAACGAAAAAGGAATCCAAGTTCTGGAAGTGGGGAAGAAAGCTCTCTTCCCAACAAATGGATGTAATGTGCATCTGTCAGAGCATATGAATCCTGCTCTGGAAGTATACCTCATGGGAACAGAGTTCCAGCAGCTTGACACAACTTACTTCCGATTTTCTTTTCTACTCAAAGAGGGTTGGTAAGGTGTGCCATTCATTAGAAGTGGCTATTGAGGCCTCATTCAATCATTCAAAAAGGGAACTGGATACACACCCAATCAGTTTCAATCTGTGGAAACACTGCTTCAGTGAGTGAGTCACTACTTTAGTGAGCGAGTAGTAAATGTATGGGACAGGCTCCCTAGAGAGACGGTGGAAGCAGAAAGTGTTGATTCTTCCAAAGCAAATGAGACAGATTTATTTTAGGAAATAATATCTGGGGATACAGTATATAGTTTGGGACATGAGATGTGTGAGCAACTAACAGGATGGTGTAAGGTGAACTGAATGGACCTTGGTCTTCTTTGCCTAGCTGTTCTTATAACAGTAAAAACAAGGGGAAATGGGTAAAGAGCTGGAAGCGGGGTTGATAATTAATGTAGTGACACAGAAACGAAAGGTGAATGGCCATCTTAATTCTGTTGTTGGTTGATATGAATCCAGTTAGAAATGGCTGCACATCAAACTCCAATGTAGATATAACCAGTGAGTCAACTATGAACACAAAGGAGGAGGGAATGGAGGGGTGAATATACAGGAGGTGATTAGGAGATGAAGAAGGATCAGCTTGACAAACTAGACAGGACAAGAGGCCTGTTCTCGTGCAGTAATACTCCACGTCATTCTAGTTGGATTCAGATGAAGAGTGAAAGCAGCACGTTACCAAGGAAACAAGGTCATATTTCTGTACCCCCCCCACCCTTCCGCAAGTTAATGGCAGCAGGAGTAACCACATGGCTGCACTGCCCATGAATCAGCAGCAAAAACCTGAGGACATTGAGGGGCAATACAGTAGTCACATCTGAAGCAACCTGCGTCAGGACTCCCCTGGCTTCAAAATTAATAACTGACTCCTGACGATCGCAGTTGTAAATTGCTGATGCGTTGACCAACTTCCTCAGTCCACATAAATCATCAACTTTTATTTTATAACTTGATCTGGGGCAGTCACTATGAACAGTCATAATAATAATCCTTGGATTTGATATTGCACCGTTCACATTGGAAGTACGTCCCAAAGCGCTTCTCAGGATTTACTGTAAAAGGTAGTTAGTGACTATATTTTTGTAGGTAAATGAGGAAGCCAATGTGTGTACAGCGTTAGCCCACAAGCTGCCATGAAATTAATCAACAATTTTATCAGGGGAATTGTTGGTCAGGACACTGGGAGAAATGCTTTGAGTCGTACCATGGGATCTTGAACGTCCACTGAAACAAACAGATGGGACCTCGGTTTAACATCTCATCTGAAGGACGGTACCTCCCAATAATGCAGCGCATCAGACCCCTTGCACCAGCAAAGATCGGATCAACATTTTGCTTCTTAAACGCAGCCCAAAGGTGTTTATTGCTGGCCATGGGAGTGAGTTTCAATGCTACTTCACCAGGCGCCAGGCTAATTGGAAGTTGGTATCTGGTGAAGAAACACTAACTTGGCGCCAAGGACCCTTTGCCCTCATGTTGCCAAATATAGAGAACACTCAGCGAGGCCGCACATCAGCATTAAGGAATGTTACTCCCTAGAGCTTTCAGAAACAGCTTGTTCTGACTTGCATCACAACGCAACGCATCTCCTTCCCACTGGGATTTTTTAGGCTGCTCAAATTTCAGTTGTCTTCACCAGAGAATCTAGATAGAAGCACCTCATTTATTTATTTCAATATTAACACCACCATTTTAACTGGAATCTGCTTGGCTACCATCCAGTGTTTTATTACAAATGTAACTGATTTACACACACATCCATCTTATCGTAAACTGTCTTTTGCAACTGCATGGCAGCTCCTAATGCAGGAAAAACTTATTAAAAATTTTCATGTCGTCCATGCATTCATCACCTCCCGACTTGACTTTTCAAATGCCTTCTTCACCAATCTCCCCAGAAAAACCATGCACAGGATCCAGCTGATCCAAAACTCTGCCTTCCTCACTAAACTCTGTACCCCCATCACACCAATTCTAGCCAGGCTGCACTGGCTCACTACTGCCGAATGGATTGTTTTCAAGATCTTCACACTTGTTTTCAAATCCCTTCATGCTCTGGCACCTCCCTACCTCTCCGACCTGCTTACTCCACAACTCACGACCCGCTGCCTCTGCTCGACTGGCTCCGGCCTCCTGCCACCATTAGCGACTACACTTTCAGCCACTATGCCCCGAAACTCTGGAACATTCTTCCTCTATCACTCTGTCTTGCCATTTCCTTCCCCATCTTCAGATTACGCTTGAAGACCTTCTTCTTTGACTGTGCCTACGGTGACCACCCTCCCCCCGGCTCAGGGTCGCGCTCCGTTACTGTCAAGTGCTCTGGGATGTTTCCCTGTGTGAGGGCTGCTGCTACTGTTGTTACTTCAAACCCTTTTCTTTGACAAATCTAAAATGCTTCCATTTCTCTGCAGTTCTGGAAGTTTGAGCCATACTTACCTGGAAGGGACAAGGGGAGGGGCGCGCAATTATGGACAAATTCCGTGAGAGCATTGAGCGAGAGGGAGACCCTATACTCCTATAAACCAAAGGGAAAGCATGACTATCATCTTTCATGAACAGAACCAGATTGCTTCCCTGGTTGTGTACGGACTATATGAATTGCAGTTCGTGTGTAATGGGATCACAGAACCTTACAGCACACACAGAAGGCCATTCAATAGGACTATAATGTACAATCGTGCTGTGAGATACCCAAAAAAGGTATCGAATTAATCCCAGTTCCCTGCCTATTCCTCACTCCCCCTTTTTATTTTTATCTTTTAAACATTTGCCTTATCCCATCATCCCTAAAGCTTTAACAGATTCTACTTAATACGGTCACCTGCCCCTCCCCCAGCATCATGCTCCGCCACTGTCAAGCACACTGGGATGCTATCCTGCGTGAGGAGCGCTATGTAAATGCAGGTTGTTGTAAGAATTCCTCAAGAAAAAAAACTCAATCCACGACTGTTTACAGGACACTGCTGTGCACAATTGGATGTCACATTTCACCCTTAAGCGTTTCTGTGAATCGCTTTGCGAGACGTTTTGATGACGTGATAAGGAGTTATATCAAATGCAAAGATTATTATTATTATTACTATTACTTCAACCATGGCTTTTGATAGAGCATTCAATATCCTACTCCGTCTAGAATAAAAAATCTCAGCTCTATTTTTGCTAAAGATTTATGCATGTTCTCTGGCTACCAACTCACCTACCAGATATTCTCAATTGTTTCCAATACAGTATCTGTTTGAACTTCCAATTACATTTCCAAAGGGACAATTTCAGATGCATCGACTTCAAAAGTATCTCCCTCCCCCACCCAAGACACACACATACACACAGTGCCATAATACACCAATATGTGTTCCAGAAATTTGCATAGACAGTAACCTTTACCCAAAGGTCCATGATAACTTAATATACTTTAGATACTGAATTGTGAAGCAAAAGTCCAAAAGGTCATGATATCTCTGACCACAAGACAAATGTAACAGGATTATTACCAGAGAAGAGGTGAAAAAAACAAAATACTGTACAACAATAGGCTGTCTGAAACTACCACCAAGCCAGGGAATGAGCAGCGATAATTAGATTGGTGTCAACCCACTTTATACATTCAGATTAAGATGATTTGCTTTTGATTAGCGACAGAGCTCACTTTGTTTAGCAGCATTCATGAGGTCAACCTTAAACACAAGTCATCAATCTCCAAATGTTTTAAAATTATAATCATGCACCTCATGTCAAAACAGAGTTGAGTTTTTTCCTCTTAAACAACATTATTTTGAAAGGGAAGAATGCATTGCTGTTTGACAGGACAATGACTATAAAACATGTTTCATTGATGGTTTATTTCACAGAAATTCCTCAGCCAGTTAACACGTATGACATTCCAAGAGCTGTCGTGTTTGAACTGTGCACACGTTAAGATATTGTAACTTAAATAATAGAACTGACAATATGATTTTTGCAGGAAATAAAATGATTGAAAGAAGGGATATATTAATACATGCATTACCGAATATCCCCCATTTCCAGCCCGTCCCAGTACTTACTCGTGCACTCGATTATCCCCATACAAGTCACTCAGACCAAAGCTGACATAATGCCAATGCTCTGGAACATCTTGTGTGGTGTTCCCCGGATTTCTGTACATGCTGATGTAGTCTAGTGGATCTGGTCCTCCCAACCTGCAGAGTGAAATGGGGGGGGAGAGAGAGAAGAAATGTTTTTCTTTGAGAATAGCTTTGACGGTTAGCGAGAAAACCAGATCAGCAATCTGGGGAGCAAAGACATTGGTGGGCTCGTCATTGCCTACTGAGATTATTCTGCAGTCAAGCAAAGGCATTTTGTTTTTTTCTGTATATAAGCACTAAACATTTCTATTGGTCTTCATATTTACTGGCATTCTTTAAACAGGATTTCCAGGCACCCCCAATTCATATAATAATCCTTGCATTTGATATAGGGCCTTATCACATTCTTGAGATGTCTCAAAGTGCTTTACAGAGATACAGAAGAGAAGTTCTACACCCAAAGTGCTTGTTTTGAATATCAGAAATAATCATGGGTAGATTGCACCAGAATCAGCTTTAACAAAGAGCAAGTTCTCATGGTTTGACCCGAGTTGCTCAGTGCACAGAAACATCTGAATGCACCAACAGGAAAATCAGAGGGTTCCCACACACGCTTCAGTAACTTGCATTTTTATAGTCTCTCATAACATCAAAACATCTCAAAATGCTGAACAATAAATAAGTATGGTGGACTTGTTTTTTATACGCCATCTCCACTCGATTGGCTCCAGCCTCCTGCTTGTCCCTCATGCCCTCCATTCCACCATCAGTGGCCACACTTTCAGCCACTGCACCCCAAAACTCTGACCCACTCAATTCTTCTGCCTTGCCCCTCTTTCCGCATCTTCAGGTCATGCCTTAAGACCTTCCTCTTCCACCGTGCCTACGGTCACCCCACACCTGGCTCGGCTTCATGCTCCACCATTGTCAAGCGCTCTGGGTCACTACCCTGTGTGAGGGGGCGCTATATAAATGCAACTTGTTGTTTTTATTGTTGTCTCAAATGCAGCAAACCATTTGTGCCAGCAAAGTCTCACAAATTAGAGAAGCTTGGAGTAGAGAAGGTTAAGGAGAGATTTAATAGAAGTATTCAAAATTACAAGGGGATTTGATAGGGTGAACAGGGAGAAACTGTTTCCACTGGTAGGTAGGTCAGAAACCAGAGGACACAGATTTAAGATAGTTGTCAAAAGATCCATAGGGGAGATGAGAAATATTTTCACAGTGAGCTCTTCGGATCTGGAATGCACTGCCTGAAAGTGCGATGGAAGCAGATTTGATATTAACTTTCAAGAGAGAAATGGATAGATATTTTGGGAGGACAAATTTGCAGGACTATGGGGAGAGAGCAGGGGAGTGGGATTGATTTGGGTAGCTCCTTCCATGAGCCGGCATGGGAACGATGGACCAAGTGGCTTCCTTCTGTGCTGTATGATTCTATGATCTGCCATGAGTTCAATGACCAAATGAGCGAATGACCAATTCAGCTGGGGAGCTGTGGCCAGGACAGCTGAAGAGACTCACTTTTTGTGTCCAACAGGGTCACAAGGATATTTTATGCCAATCTGAAAATAGGCAGATGGATGGGTCCTTTATTCAATATCTTATCCGAAGGCTGGCACAGTTGACAATGCAGCCCTCTTCCAGTACTGTACTGAAGTATCAGCTTAGACTGTGAGGTGATCTCCCAGTGTGGGGGCACTCAGTGAGGCAAGACTGAAAATTAAATAAGTGGAAGACTATTGCTGAATAATTCCAATTACCCATCTAAAAAATTAATAAACATAATGCACACAAAAAATTAAGATTATAACTTCATTCAGCCAAAACACAGTTAAAAGACTGCAGTGCAACTAAACTATTAAAGACTTTTCTTCCTGAATGGTTTGAAATGCATCCCAAACCCAACTGGAAGTAATGTGCTCTGCAAGGCAAAAGAATTGCAGAATTTAAACACCACTGGCCAATTTCCAACATTGCCATTCAGCACATGTGTATAAGAGCCCATGAAAGGCCAATGGGACTGAACTTGCGTGGATACAATTAATTCAGAACTCCGCCACCTAGATACTAACCCACACAAAACTCTGGACCCCCTCACACCAGACCACGCCAGACTGCACTGGCTCCCAATTTCCAAATGGATCGACTTCAGGATTCTCTCTCTTGTTTTCAAATCCCTTCATGCCCTCGTACCTCCCTACTTTTCTGACTTGATCATCCCCTACTCCACCACCCGCTGCCGCTGCTCGGCCATCTCCGGCCTCCTGTTCGTCCTTCTCCTGCTTCGCTCCACCATCGGCAGCCGTGCTTTCAATCACCACGCCCTGAAGCGCTGAAACACTCTCCCTCAATCCCTCCAACTTGTCGCCTCCCTCCCCACTTTCAAATCTCGCCGAAAAACCTTCCTTTTTGATTATGCTTACTGTCACCTCCCATCTCCCTCTCCCCCAGGCTCCAGGTCAGACTCCACCGCTGTGATGCCCTCTGGGATGCTACTCGGCATGAAGGGCGCAAGTCATTGTTGTTATGGGAGAACGTAGGGAATTTGTGAATTCTAGTCAGTCACACTGATTGTACTTCAATCTTCAGTGGAGTCCTGTAGCATATTGGTTAGAGCACTTGCCTCGCAAACTAGAGAACCCAGGTTCATTATCTGGGCAGGGAAAAAACCTTAGGCAAGTTTCCTTACTCCACATGCCTCTGTTTACCTAGAAGTACGTAGAAAACCTGGGTGTGAGTCGATTGGTGCATCGTTTTCTGTGGATTGGCTGACAAATAAAATTTGGTTACTTAATCCATGACTGTTTGTGGGACACTGCTGTGAACTGCCGTATTTCACCCACAAAATACAGTCAATTCAGTCTACAATATATTCTGTGAAGCTCTTCGAGATGTCTCAAAGACGTGATAAGACACTATATCCTACAGTCATCCCACAGTAGTTGATTCGTGGGGCAAAAAGGCAACAAAATCGAAAACCAAGCGTCTCAGAGTACAGTCACTACATGTAAAAAACTTTGAAGATCAGCAATGCAGGAAAGACCACCCAGTTTCTGAGAATTATTATTGCCTGAAAAACTACACAAAGGTTTTAGAACCAAACTTCCCTCAGCATCAGTGGCAAGTGATCAAAGGCAAGCAGACATGCAGCTCACAGCAACTGACCCGATCACTAGTGTATGTACGCCATAAGCCAAGGCAACACAAGGCTTTGATGAACACCAGACACGGTCAAAATACACCAAGCGATTGAACTGCTTGAGAATGACTTACATTAATCTGCAAATTCTTTAGAAAAAAAGCATTTATAGATGTAAGGAAGATTAACCTAGGACTAATCAAAGCAAGATATACTGATCTTGGAACAGCTGCATTACTTTCAGAACAAGACATTAGAGCCCAAATATTTTACAGATTGTCTGCACATCAGATTTCCTTCCTACTCGGTGAACATCAGACAAGAATGACAAGTCCAACAAAATATCTGTTAACTTTATCTATGACTTCATACAATATCTGTGGTTCATTTTCAGTTTACAGCGCACTTCGCCAATAAGCTGGTCACTGCATTCCTATTTTTTGTGATTTGGCCTATCTGATCTCTTTCTCCCAGACTACCTGCCCCACCATTGCAGAGTTGTCATTTCTCAATCAAATCCAGGGCCCTGGCCCATTCCTAGTGTCAATCCTAAAACTGCTTTTGCAATCCTAATGCCTTTCACGTCAAAAAGACTTCACTGTAAAGTTTTGTGACTGTGTACTTGCAGGGCGATTGGAACAGCCAATCTAACCACAAAAGTCATGACGTTTTGTAGGGGGGGGCGGGGGGCAAAACACCGGGTGCAGCTCCCTTCTCTTTTTGAGATAGTGTTATGGAATCTTTTAACATCCACCTGAACAGGCAGGTGAAATCTAGGTTCAACGTCTCATCCGAAGGACAGCACCTCTGACAATCCCCACAGCACTGCATTGGAGCCTCAGCTTAGTCTATGTGATTCTAAGTTCCGACGTGCTCGAACTGCGCCAGGCTGACACACAGCCTATCCCACAATCATTTGGGGAGTTGCTCTGAAATCCAATAGACAGTATAATTGTGTTCCATAGTATTTAATTATTCGTAATCTGATGGATTTGGTTGTAAAATAAAACTAGTGTTTATTTTATTATACAACCTGCTGGTCCATGTCGTACTATCAGCTTTACAAAGTACTTAGTGACGTGTGGAGAGTACATGAATATCCAGGAAAACAAAGGAGTATTGTCTGGCCGGGTCACACCAGCCTCAAGTCCATACCAGAAATTACTGTCATCTACATCAGGATGGTCCAACTGGCTGCCCACGGACAGATTTCATCCACCCCCACCCTCACTCCAGTCCATCTGGCCCAACCTGCTCCTTCCGTAAATAATAATCCTTAATAATAATAATCCTCGCATTTGATACAGTGCTTTATCACATCTTCGAGACGTTTTAAAGTGCTTCACAGGATATTATTGTAAAGTGAATCAACTATATTTGTGGGAGAAACAAGGCAGCCAATTGTGCACAGCAATGTCCCACAAACAGTCGTGGATTGAGCGACCAAATTATTTTGTTTTTTTTTCTTGAGGGATTATTAACAGGCATGTGGAGTAAGGAAACTTACCCACGGTTTCACCCTGCTATGTTTTGTTTCTGGAACGGAAACACAAAAAGTATTGGTTATGCAGTCCGTGGAAGTTTTTCAAATAGGGCATCCGGCCCTCAGCAGCCTGGTCTAGATCATAGAATTAAGAGTGCTCACATGCAGGAGAAACGGAGCTCTAAACATTGCATCCCTCCAACTGCCCTCAGATAATGCCACTGTAAATTTCTCCATCTTTTGATACCTCTTCAGTTTCTACTCCACACTACCTTCCTCCTGAAATTTGCTCATCATCATCCCATCTATAAGAAAGGTGATCCCTCTTAACCTGTACTTTCTAAAGCTAAGAAAGCTGTGGCCCACCCACACAAGATATTCAGCAATTTGAACGTTGTCAATCACCAGTATTGCCTCTCCATTGGTTATCTTCTGGCTGATGTTAGACTTCTGGAGTGCTGGGTCAAACCCTGGTCAATGCATTAGACA